AACCCCATAAATATTGAATAAGAATGAAGGAGGTGTCATTAGAATATCGCAAAAAATTTATAGATGGAGAAAATCTTGCAAATTTTAAAATCATCTTTATTTTTCGAATGATCTCAAGAATACAAAGTTTCACTGTGAATATCACGTTGCAAGACATCCTGTGTATATATACACATACATACATTCATATATACATATATACATATATATATATATATATATATGTATATATGTATATATGAATGTATGTATGTGTATATATACGCAGGAGGTATATATATACAAAGGTGTCCGGTAACTAACGGACCAACGATTACAAATGGATTCTTTGGTCAATTTGGGAACGATTTTTCCTCAGCGAAAATGTCGAAAAAGGTCATCATTTTACAACTTTCCAATATTTGTCATTATGTATCTTTATAACTAAGCCTCAAATTAAAATTTTATTATAGTAAACTCTACCTGAAATTAACTGAAGAATGTAATTATGTTAGACTTTTAACTCCAAAACGTTTAGTTTTCAAAAAACCCATTTTTTTCAATCGCTTATAACTCGAAAATTATTGACTTCTCAACATTTTTGCTAAGGAAAAATCGTCTCCAAATTGGCCAGAGAATCCGCCCTTAATCATTGGTCCGTTAGTTACCGAACACCTTGTATATATATATATATATATATATATGAATGTATGTATGTATGTAGGCCGGACTCGGTGTGCATGTCGGATGACTTATTTGTTATATGCCGCTTATAGTATCAAAAGTATCATCTTACTTTTCGGCGCCACTACATTGGTCGCCGCTCGCTGCATGACGCCGCCTCTCGATCAAATAATGCTTTCTACCTGCTTATTCGTTTAGATATTTTAATAAATAACTCAATAATTATTGCAAATATCGCAAAATGATACAGGATTTTTGTATTTAGTTTAACACGCTCTATCTGCCCATTCGCGGTGGTTCGTGAATTATGGGACACTCTGTATATATATATATATACACAGGGTATCCCAAAAAGATCGGAACACTGAAAAATTTTGAAAAGTATACGTTTTACAGAAAAAAGTTTCAGACAAAAGTTAGATTTTAGAATAGATTTTTTATAACTTTTGTCTAAAACTTTTTTCTGTAAAACGTATACTTTTCAAAATTTTTCAGTGTTCCGATCTTTTTGGGATACCCTGTGTATATATATATATACAGAGTGTCCCATAATTCACGAACCACCGCGAATGGGCAGATAGAGCGTGTTAAACTAAATACAAAAATCCTGTATCATTTTGCGATATTTGCAATAATTATTGAGTTATTTATTAAAATATCTAAACGAATAAGCAGGTAGAAAGCATTATTTGATCGAGAGGCGGCGTCATGCAGCGAGCGGCGACCAATGTAGTGGCGCCGAAAAGTAAGATGATACTTTTGATACTATAAGCGGCATATAACAAATAAGTCATCCGACATGCACACCGAGTAAAACGTATACTTTTCGAGATTTTTCAGTGTTCCGATCCTTTTTGGGACATTCTGTATATATATATATATATATATATATATATATATATATATATATATATATAGTGACGTGACATTTTTTACTGTCCGTCACAAGGGCCGAAGGCCCGGCCGGGAAGACGGAAAATTCGGGAACCTTTGCTCTCTCGCCAGTCTTTGAGAGAGAGAGAGCACCCGAAAAATCATTTTTGCGTTTTCTACCGCGTCGGAAGATGCGCTTCGCGCATCCGTTTCGCGAATTACTTTATTTATGATTTTTGTTTAAGCGATTTTTTTGCGTTTTCGGCGAGCAATTTTGCATAGGGTACGTGTCTCAACCGGAGAAACAGAAAGAGAGAAAGAGTGAGAGGGCGGAGAGGACGAAGAGGACGATTTAGGACTGAGCAGGGCCCACCAAGTCCGGATCACGCCCGGTAAATATTATTTTCACATAGATTTTCTGGATTGCTCCTCCCGTTAAGAACCTGGATACCGACGTAAAATGTTTCTTCTCTCGCAGAGATTCCGACCAGAGACGGGGATGGCCACTCTCTCGCAAGAAGCGAGAGAGCCCCGGAAACTAGAGGCACGGGAGACACACTGCCTCGAGCCTCAGCCTATTCGGATATACGAAAGTTCATCATCGATCAAACAATCGATCTGGCGGATTTTTGGGAGGAACCGCAAAGAGGCGCGCTCGTAGGAGTCTTCCCGACGACCTATATAGAGGAACAGCGGAACTCAAAGCAGAAGAAAAGAGGAACGGCGAGAGAAAATTTGCATCAAGCAAATTCGCAGGGCCCCGCGGGGCATCCGGCGGCCCTGCCAGGAAAAGGAGCGCCACGGGAAAATGCCCAATTCATTATCGGCGTGATCCCGGCAGGCCTCTTGCTCGTCACTGTCTGGCGGAGCGTTCTGGAGAGCAGAGGTTCCTGCGCGCGGATGCCGAAGCATAAGAGGACCCAGCAATACCGTTGAGACGAACGGCCCTATACTATTGTAAAGCCGCTAAATTCTTTTTTTTTGTGAGTACCGTATTCGAGAGAGAAGCGTGTCACGGCCGCGGCCGGTTATTAGATTCACCGGTGTAATTTCGCGATATTTCGAGAGGTTTGATTTAGAGTTTCGTTCCGCGTGGAATTTATCCCGGCGCCCGGCCGACCACGTGCTCTCTCCCGCGCGTATATTAAGAGAGGCTCTCTCCCGCGGATACGCCGACAGTCATCGCGATTTTGGTCACATTAATGTAGAACAAAAGTATCGTTTCGTGATTATTGTGTCGTTCTCGTCTGTAAGAGTTTCTATATCTGAGAATAGAAAATTGTCTAGAGTCACGCATCCGAAATAGCGTATTCTTTCTCGCGCATATCTTTATCCGCGTAGTCTTCTGATTCTTTGTAAAATATTGCGAGGGACGACCGGCGTGATCGGTCGCAAAGGAAGTCGCGCGGGACCTACTACAGTTTGCGGAAATTTTGTATCGCCTGCAACCCTCAGAATTAATTACGTCGCACGGACCTTATTAAGTCTCGCGCGTTAATAATTATTCGACACGTAGGTGTGCAAATTTACTTCCGGGTCCCGCGTGTCGTCCGATATCACCGCGGCGGGTCGTCTCAAAGGCGCAGAACAATAACAACGCGCCGCGTCTCGGCCGTAAATACGCCGTATTGTATTGTCCGAATCAAATTTCGGCCTCGCTTATTTGTATTTCGGCGTTACTAAAACGGAGTTCACTCCATGGTATATCGAAAGAATATTGATTTTTCTTTCTTGACCTAACATTTTACTCAAGCTTTTATACAATTATTTTTCTGTCTATCTTCGTTCATCATTGTTCAAATATATTTAATGCTTGTTACATTTGAGCGATTTCAAATAGCCTCTCTCGAATTCCGTCCTCTCTCCCGTCCGAACTCCCCCCTCTACCCCCTGACGATCTGAGCGAGTCGATTATCGCCGTCGCGGAAATTCTTGGGATGATTTACCGATTATAAAGGTCATCTGTCGATTTGTAAATTTTCAGAGTGGTGCGAATCTCGCGCCTGGCGCCCAATAAACATATTTTTCGTGTTCACGCGAATTTCCCGCTTTCCGCGCCGAAGGTGTGCCGTCGGCCACTTACATCGGCCCTATTTCCCGGATCCTTTTCGATCCGACGGACTAATATCAAATCAACGGTTACAATATATATATATATATAATATATACACATACCTATTGATTTATTTAGCAATCTGTCTATCTATCGAACTATCTATCATCAATCGATGAATCTATCTATCTATCTATCTATCGATCTATCTGTCTTTTCTCTCTTTTCTACATTGCATTCTTTTATATATGCACACGTATATAATAATTTTTTAAAAATATTGTACATTACAAAAGTAAAAATAATTAAATTTATAATCTAAAAATATATAAAAATTTTTTATGAATATAATGATTACAAAGTTTTAGTAGATAGTTTTTTGTAATAAATAAATGATTTATATGATTTATTCTTATCTAACTACTGCTCTGTTTTGATAATAATAGCATTATTATGTGTATTCAATCTCTAAAATACTTTTATATAAATCATTTATTACAAAGAATTATTTACTTTATAATCAATTATAATTATTATAGATAGGCCTGTTTATACACATACACACACACAATATATATATGTGTATTATAATAAAGATAATAATAGATATAATAGAGATATTTTAATAAATAACTCAATAATTATTGCGAATATCGCAAAATGATACAGGACTTTTCTATTCAGTTTAATACGCTCTATCTGCCCATTCGCGGTGGTTCGCGAATTATGGGACACCCTGTATATAAAATTTATATATTTATTTATATTTTTCTACTATATGCGCATAATAAACATTTATAATTTCTATAAAAGCAGGCTATCTCGAGTAGACATAAAACAGATAAAAATAATCTTGTAAGTTCCTATAAAATTTTTTTTATAACGCATCGCGATATTTGTCTACAAACGGATTCTATATGTCCATGAAAAATTATTTACTTTTACGAAAACATCTTGTATATATGCAATATCTATATAATCAAATAAAATTATTCCTTTCAATATCTTATCTAACTACTGCTCTGTTCCGATTATAATAATATTATAAAATATTTTCATAAAAATAATTTTTATTTATTATAAATAATTATCTACTAAAACTTTATAATCAATTATAATTATACAAAATTTTTATTTTTACGTGTGCATGTTGAGAGAGAAGAGACAGAGAGACAGAGAGGAATACAAAGAGACAGAGAAACAGAGACAGATAGATAGATAGATAGATAGATAGATAGATAGATAGATAGATAGATCGATAGAGAGATCGATAGATAGTTCAATAGACAAATACCTAAATAGATATATATATATATATATATATATATGTATGTATGTATGTGTGTATGTATGTATGTGTGTATGTATGTGTATGTATGCATATATAGAAAATGTTTATAAATAAACTAACCTGTACATCCAGCCCTTCTTGAAGGAAACTCTACGTTTCGAACGAGACAAATGTTTGGCGTCATATTTTTGTTCCATGGTGTGGACAACACACAAACTCAAGTATACGCTGCTTTGTTGTTACGCGTATGAACGTGTATAGCACCGCGCGACGTGAGTGAGACGTCGCGCAGTAGATCATATCAACGTATAATACGCGCGGATTACTGTGGTACATACATACTACTGATACCGCGCGAATACGAAAGATCTGATGCGCATTTTTACGTATATAATAGATCGGAATATTTGATAAAAATATATATATATATAAAATATATGATAAAAATATATATATATATATATATATATATATATATACATATATATATATATATGTATGTATATGTACACAGAGTTGGGAAAGTTACTTTATAAAAGTAATTAGTTACAGTTACAGTTTTTTTCATTAAAAAGTAACTAGTTACAGTTAAAACTTACCAATCCTGAAAAGTAACGCGTTACAGTTACAGTTACTTAAAAAGTAACGAGTCGTTACTTTGTAGTTACTTTCTTGCGATGAAAATAAAATATCAGATCTATACTTAATAAAAGAAATTTAAAGGAATTTAAGGAATAAAAGAAATTTAAAAGAATGAAATCATATACATATAAATATGTTCTCTAAATACATTTTTATTATATATAGTTATTTATTATAATTATACATTATTACTTATTATAAGAATTAAAATTATAAAAGTCTTTAACGTTTCGAGAGCATTATAGAGTTTCTATTTATATTGTATATACACATAGTATATAATGAAGCTATAATGATCTCTTTCTTCTCACAAATTAATTTTTTCATCATTCCGAGAATATTTACTTCTTATGTGAAAATCTTATATTTTGCCGATATTGAAATGCCGCAAGTCGATTTATAAAGCATCAAAACGAGATCACAAGAAAACTGAAATCGTTATCGTGGTCCCAGATTTTTAGGCTGACCTAGAACGACAGATATGAGAGATATATCTAGCTACAGACGTTATAATATCGATATTGAGAAATCGGAAAATCGTAGCCCCGGCGAAATATTTAAGTAACTACACTAGAAAACAGCTCTTTCTTTGTTTAGTATCCTTCTTTTATATTGTCTCGTCAAAGTAAACAGAAACGCACAATATTTTACGTTGCTTTGGATTATTGAGATTACCTACAAAATCTCATAATAAATTTAACTCTCTTAATTATATTCTCTTTTAAATATAATAACTTCCTTTTTTCTCATGGTTTATAATTTTATACGCCTACGTCATTTAATATCAGATAGCCTTAGTAAAAAGAATTGCAGATTTTCTAAATAAACTAAAATAAAATTATAATGTATTCTTTCTAATTCATAAAAATTACAGCTTTCTTTACAAATTCCACTCATATAAAAGCAATACAATTTTATACGTGCTTTTTTTAGCATTTTATATGAAAATTATTTACTCATTCAAACTTTAAATTTTTACGATCATTTTTTAATATATACAGGGTGTCCCAAAGCACCCTTAACAACGCTCGTGAGGTGATAGAGGAGATCAAGATGAACAAAAAAGTCTTATACCATTTTGCGATATTTGCAATTATAAGCGAAATATTTAATGTTAAATTCAGGCAAATAAGAGCCCGCTAAGGGCTCTTATTTAACTTTAAATAACTTAATTCGTTATAACGGGTACACTGGGCCGTGTTATAGTTTGAGCGGCTCGAGCGCTTTTCTTAGCGGGCTCTTATTTGCCTGACTTTAACATTAAATATTTCGCTTATAATTGCAAATATCGCAAAATGGTATAAGACTTTTTTGTTCATCTCGATCTCCTCTATCACCTCACGAGTGTTGTTAAGGGTGCTTTGGGACACCCTGTATCAATTTATATCTTGACACTTTTTTTATTATAATTCTTGTTAATATAAATTGATACAATGGATCTGTTTTTTGTTCCTGAACTGCTGCACTAGTTCAGAGGTTATCTTTTTTGCTCGACATTGGAAAGAAAAGGACAACCTCTGAACTAGTGCAGCAGTTCAGGAACAAAAAACAAAAAACAGACCCAATATGTTATAATTTATTAACAATTTAATATTTAAAATTTTAATAAAAATTTTTATTAATTTTTAAGAGGATTTGATACTCAATTGTGTCATCGTTGAGATGTGCTCTTTGAGGCGTTAATACTAAACCACCAACGCTAAACATTTGTTCCACAGATGCACTGCTCGGAAGTGCCGTATTATATTTAATAAAAAGTTTTTTAATTGTAATGTAATCTTTTAATATATTAACATTGCAATTACTTGATTTCAAGAATCGGTACAGTTCTTCTTGTGTAGACTCGACTTCTTTTGTTTGCTGGTCAAAAGCAAAAAAGTCATCGTTGTTGAGATTTTCATCGTTTGGAGAACTCTCAGTGGAACAAATTCCTAATAGGTCTTCTAAATAAGTTTTAGCGAGTTTTTTTTTCTCCATGTATCCAATTTAATTTAAATTTGGGATGCAAACAACTTGCAATAATAAGTTCTTTTTTTTCAAACAATGAGGAAAATCTAAAATTATACAGTCAGAAGTCAGAATCAATGAATATTGTTTTCTAAAAATAATAAATAACATGTTCATTAAAATAACAAATTACCTTTTATTTAAACCTTGTTGAAGAGCTGCGATTAATGATTGGCAATGCGTAATTTCATTTTTATTAAGTTTCTCTAATTTTTCTTTTAATGTTTTTAAGATCGGTAATAAGTATCCCATATACATCCCTTTCTCGCTTTGCAATATATCTAAAGATTGTGCTAAAGGTTTCATTACTTAAACGAAATAAAACGAGAAAAAGATACACGTTATTAGTTATTAAATACATATTACAATCTTTATATATACATATTTATATATTTATGTTTCATATTAACAACTTATAAATTTATCTAAATACCTGACAATATTCTTCTACGAGTATGAATTTCATTTCATTTTCAGTCAATCTTTGCAAATTACAATGATCAAGGCATTGATTGATTTGGTCGGGATCATTTTTTAAAAATGTTGCTAGTTGCATTACAGAATCAAAAGTAGAGTTCCATCTACCAAAATAAAAAAAGATGAAGGCATATTAGAAACTTATAATTTGAAAAAAATATTTATATATACTCATATGCAGAATTAAATGAAAACATGATTAAAATTAAAAAACAGTAAATATGCAATTTATTTAGTTATAAAATTGAAGACAGTTGTAATGTTTTTTACTATTGTGTCGAGAGAATATCTATGGAAAAATAATATTGATATACATATAAGCCACTGCGTGACTTGTACATAAACATTGCGAATATTATTTTTAAACTCAGAAATAAATATTTTTATCGGCTCTCAATATAAATAATATAAGTATGCTGTCTTCTAAGCTGGGCAATAGAGCCAAGGAAACGAAACGAAAAATTAATTAAACGGAACTGTATCTCAATTTGAGATCCCAAAGTTCCACATATAAATTAATTTCGAAACTTACATATGGAGAAATAAGCGAGAAAAATATAGGTCCGAAAAGTCGCTGAATATATATTGAGAGCCGATAAAAATATTTATTTCTGAGTTTATTCACGCCTTGGGCTAATCACGGCGGTATTTACTAACATCTACTAAAAAGGCAAAAATGAAAAATATAGGATCGAAAGGGTCTGAATAGCTTAGTTGGTAAGAGCAGTCGCCCGGAAAGTGAAAGACGCGGGTTCGATTCCCGCTTCAGCGACTTTTCGGACCTATATTTTTCTCGCTTATTTCTCCATATGTAAGTTTCGAAATTAATTTATATGTGGAACTTTGGGATCTCAAATTGAGATACAGTTCCGTTTAATTAATTTTTCGTTTCGTTTCCTTGGCTCTATTGCCCAGCTTAGAAGACAGCATACTTATATTATTTATATTGAGAGCCGATAAAAATATTTATTTCTGAGTTTATTCACGCCTTGGGCTAATCACGGCGGTATTGACTAACATCTACTAAAAAGGCAAAAATGAAAAATATAGGATCGAAAGGGTCTGAATAGCTTAGTTGGTAAGAGCAGTCGCCCGGAAAGTGAAAGACGCGGGTTCGATTCCCGCTTCAACGACTTTTCGGACCTATATTTTTCTCGCTTATTTCTCCATATGTAAGTTTCGAAATTAATTTATATGTGGAACTTTGGGATCTCAAATTGAGATACAGTTCCGTTTAATTAATTTTTCGTTTTGTTTCCTTGGCTCTATTGCCCAGCTTAGAAGACAGCATACTTATATTATTATTTTTAAACACTGATAAAAATCATTAGATACATCTATTATCATTCTAAGATCAAATAAGTTTCATATTTACAATCTAACGCAATAATAAATTTTTTTACCTGGTAATAACAGGAGTTTTTAAATAGACACCTAAAATTTCTTTTATTTTGTCAGATATTTGTGTAGATTGATTTTGTTTACTCCATAATTTGGTTAATTTAGCAAATGTCAATCTGTATAGTTTTTTATATGAAACATCATTGTCTAGAGCTTTCTCGGAATCTTTTACAGCGACAAGATTTAAACTGTGACTCACACATCTATGATGTGATGGAAGAATAAGCGAATCTTCTGCATCCATATCTTCTATATCATCTTTAATTAAAAGATCACTTAAATCGTGAAATTCTATAGCAGTAGATGTTTCATCTTTGTCCTCGTCTTTTACAAAATTCCTAAAAAATATTTAAAAATTTTACTCTCATGAATTATATTAAAATATTTTATATGTCAATTATGTTTTGTTAATTATATTTTTTATTTTTATTATACTTTAATTATATATATGCTATTATATCTTAATTTTAATTGTTTTAGTTAATTTTTTGTATTATATGTAATAAGATAAAAGGAGTATGTAAGCGAGATGAAGAATGCCACATTCGTTTGAATATCCAAAATTAAAATATAAAATGTAAAAAATATACACAATATACTTTGAAACAAACTCTTACCGAAAAGCTTTAACAAAGTTGGATCCACTATCGGTAGTTACATAACACACTTTATTTTGGATATGATACTCGAGAAAGACTGAGTTAATTGCTCGAGCTAAAACATCGTATGTATGTCTGCCTTTCATCCTACGGCAAGCCAATGCAGCTGATTCTCTCTCGAAAGTTACGGGATTCACCCAATGAATAGTTATGCTTAAATAACTCCTATAAATTTAGATTTTAATTTATAAAATTTGAAAAATTACAATAAAAAAATACAAATATAAAGTAATATTACTAGTCTTTTTGTTTTGCTCCACAAATCTGCGGTAGTTGCAACTACTTCTACTTCTGTCAATTTTTTTTCAAGAGCAGCCTTCATTTTATGATGTTTCACAAATTTTGTTTCTTAATGTTTTTCTGCACATTATACGGATATGTGAAGGAAGTCCAATTCTAAGTAAATTAATGAATGCTGGACTATCTACAGTAGAAAGAAGTTGAATATCTTCAATAATAAAACGCAGTATCGCTTTATCTACTGCTTTTTGAGTAGCTATTGAGCTCCCAGAGCCCCATCTCTCCAATCTTTGACATTTATTTGGAACATTCGGAGGATCCTCACTTGAATGTTTATTTGATAATTTCAGTTTTGCCTTATCTATGTTTTGCAACAAGTGTGGATGTTTTGCCTATTAATTTTTTTTGTCTATTAATTTCATACACACACCAGAAAGAGTAAGAAACGGAAAAAGAAGATAGAAATAATTATAATAAAAATATATCAATAGTCTTCATAATTTAAATATGTACATAAATAATTTCACAATAAAAAGAAAAATAATAACACATAGTAAAATTTTTTTGAAAAGTAAAAAAAATTTTTACCAAAAATCTTATGAGAAAAATTAAAAATTAGTTTTTAGAAAAGTTTTGTACTAATATTGTATTAATATTTATTTACATTAAAAGAATTTTTACACATGCTTTTCTCAATTTAAACAATTATAAATTTGAAAAAAAATGTTTAAAATCGTAATTTAAATAATTCTAATTGTTTAAATTAAAAAAAACGTTGTGTTCAAATCATATATTTAACATATCATACTCTTGTAACTTTTGATACCTATTTTATGCTTTATGCACATTATATTTGCTTCAAGGTTGAATGTTTTGTATATTTGAAAATCTAAAAGTTGAATTAAAAAAATTAAAAATATAGCTTACTTATATATATAATTTTAATTTTATTATACTTTATATTGATTTTTATGTAAAAAAGGGAAATAAATTATTTTTTCAATTTTATTTTAAAATAAAAAGATTTATGGATTATTATATTCCTTAAATTGTATATAATTTGCATAGATTCGATTCATTAATTTAAATAAAAAAAATTTGAGTGTAAGAATACAAATATCAACATTCCACACTAAACATATTATTATTTGCTTATTCATTATCACAATTGTCAATTCATATTTATTTTTTAAAATTACTAAAATAACAATTATATAAAAGATTGAATTTAATAGAAATACAATAAACCATAGGAATCAAAAATAACCTTACATACTAAAAATAATTTTTTAATAAAAAATTTATGTAAAAACTTACACTTATATGTTTTCTTAAATTTGAAGTGGAAGTTCTGCTAGCATGAATAATTTTACTTCCAATGCAAATTTTACACAAAAATGCCCAGTTTTTCTCGTTTCCAAGTTTTTGTTGCAACTGAAATACTTCTGCATATGCTGGCCATGGCATTTTATGATCATTTTCTGAAGATTGAGATGCCTCTATTGCTTGAACATTTTCTGAAGATTGAGATGCCTCCATAACCTCCATTGCTTGAACTTTTTAAACGTAGACAAATATAAATATATATTAATAATTAATATATATCAGAGTTATATTGTAATTAATATTAATATATCATATATCCATAAAGTGTTATACAAGATACTCGTGTAATCAATGCTATAATAAACTAAAATTTAAAATTAAATAAAATTTTGAAGAAGTAATAATAATAACAAATAATAATATCTTAAAGAAAATCACAAATAAAAGAGAAAAAACCAACGAAAGGCGAAATACAACACTTACCTCGTATCTTAGCTTACTCAGAATCAGCCAGAGATGTTCTCATTCTTGGTATCAAACATAAAACGAAACACAAAACGTGCATGAGTACGTACAAAACTTGTTAATCCGTGGAAAAACGAATTCTCTACATGCGGTGAAGAGGACTTCTCTCTCTCTCTCTCTCTCTCTCTCTCTCTCTCTCTCTCTCTCTCTCTCTCTCTCTCTACTTTTCTATCTCTTTCGCAATCAATCAATCTGACAGAACGGAATCGAATGTACGAGAGCACGTGCTCACAGCTACGATATTTCAACATATGTCGAGAGTACTATTCTGTTACCAGATTTGGGCGCTCGGCAATGACACACGTATAAAAATCACTATATTCTAGTGACTTTAACGTATACGGCTCCTTCGTCGTGTGTGTCCCCACAGCAGGCGCTTCGCAGAGAGAAGGATGAGAGTGGTCATCCCCTCGATTTAGCTGCAACCGGAATTCAAAGCGCCTCTATGTGCACAAAACGTGCACATTGAACTACGTAGCCATGTGCACGATGCTCCCGAGTGGTAACAGGCTATGTGCACGGTACGTGGTTCGATTCCGTGCTATGTGCACAGATGAGCGCCAGTAACACGTAGCTGTTAAAGGAGATGAGTTCGAGACCTCGCAGGGCCAATTTTTTTTTTTTTTTTTTTTAGTACGACTATATTTGTCAATTTAATGAAATCCTTTTAATTATTGTGGAATAAAGAGATAAAATGCATTTCTCAAGCGTACGCGAGAAAATCGAAATCAAAAATAATGAGTGCCGTATAAATACGTATGGAATAGAGCGTTATATCGAAGAGCGTGTGGCGTAGCGTTAAGGGGCTAGACACGTACCGTCGAGATTAGAGGTTCGATTCTCAAGGAGTGACTTTTTTTTTAATATTTTTTTATTTTAAATAAAATTTTTTTTTACCATAAAATGTAATTTTTACACAAAATAAATGTAAATAACACGATTTATTTACTTATAACACGTATATTACAAAAATGCATTTTTCTTTGCCTCAAAAAGCCGTGAAAAGCCGTCTGTAGAATAGCTGTATGCGATAGGAACTTGTATGATTATCTGTTTAATTAAAAATTATCCGATTTATGTCGTGTTTGGTGTCGTTGAAATCGCAAAAATCTCAATAATCCATTAATATTATTTTTGAATAGATAAAATGCAAAATAAAGGTTTTAGTTTTTCACTTATAAGATGTTTATATTTGTGAATTGCCATGGATGGGGAAGCCTATTGTTCGAGAGTTCGGAACTTTCTTTGATGATAGGTCCTCTCGCTCGCTCTATACTCGCAGTCTCGCTTTCTCTCTCGCACACGACGAGTTGTGAGATGAGCTCGAAAAGATAAGCGGGCCCGAGCGCCCGAGTATCGAGATCAAAGAACGTTCCGAACTCTCGAACAATAGGCTTCCCCATCCATGGCAATTCACAAATATAAACATCTTATAAGTGAAAAACTAAAACCTTTATTTTGCATTTTATCTATTCGAAAATAATATTAATGGATTATTGAGATTTTTGCGATTTCAACGACACCAAACACGACATAAATCGGATAATTTTTAATTAAACAGATAATCATACAAGTTCCTATCGCATACAGCTATTCTACAGACGGCTTTTCACGGCTTTTTGAGGCAAAGAAAAATGCATTTTTGTAATATACGTGTTATAAGTAAATAAATCGTGTTATTTACATTTATTTTGTGTAAAAATTACATTTTATGGTAAAAAAAAATTTTATTTAAAATAAAAAAATATTTAAAAAAAAAGTCACTCCTTGAGAATCGAACCTCTAACCTCGACGGTACGTGTCTAGCCCCTTAACGCTACGCCACACGCTCTTCGATATAACGCTCTATTCCATACGTATTTATACGGCACTCATTATTTTTGATTTCGATTTTCTCGCGTACGCTTGAGAAATGCATTTTATCTCTTTATTCCACAATAATTAAAAGGATTTCATTAAATTGACAAATATAGTCGTACTAAAAAAAAAAAAAAAAAATTGGCCCTGCGAGGTCTCGAACTCATCTCCTTTAACAGCTACGTGTTACTGGCGCTCATCTGTGCACATAGCACGGAATCGAACCACGTACCGTGCACATAGCCTGTTACCACTCGGGAGCATCGTGCACATGGCTACGTAGTTCAATGTGCACGTTTTGTGCACATAGAGGCGCTTTGAATTCCGGTTGCAGCTAAATCGAGGGGATGACCACTCTCATCCTTCTCTCTGCGCTTCGGCTGCGGCCCAAATCTGGTAACAAATCAGTAGTCGAGACACAGATTAATAGACAGATCGCCAAAGGTCTGGATGAAGGAGAGACCAGCATTTCTCACTGATTTCAGCGCCATATCGTAGTAGTAGTCAATGCAGTAACTATTAATACGTTCCCAAGATAAGAGCGTCTCATGCTCATGAACTCGTCCGGCGGCATGTACGAGATTTATCTTTTCGTAGCGTTCGCGTATTTCGGAAAGGACAGAATTTTATGATGTTATAAATAAATAAATAAATAAAATATTAACCTGACCTATTATAATTATTTTTTAATAAATGTTTCATTATTATTATCATCTAAGTCTAAGTCGTTTAATTAATTTTTAGTTTTTTAATAATTAATTTAATTTATTCTAATCATTTTAATATGTGAAAAATACTAATACGTATACGTTTTATAATGAATTAATATATTTCGAGAGTCGAATTATATATTTTTAATAATATAAAAGTGTTCAAAAATTATATTTGACTTTTAATTTTAATTATTTTAGCAAAGAGTTCCGAAATCTCTTACACACATAATAGAGATTTTGTTCATCCATATAATTCGCAATTAAGTATATATGTTAATTATTAATTTTAATAAAATACAAAATTAAAATTAAAGGTCAAATATAATTTTTGAACATAAATATATTTAGAATATAAGTATGCTGCCTTCTAAGCCGGGCAATAGAGCCAAGGAAACGAAACGAAAAATTAATTAAACGGAACTGTATCTCAATTTGAGATCCCAAAGTTCCACATATAAATTAATTTCGAAACTTACATATGGAGAAATAAGCGAGAAAAATATAGGTCCGAAAAGTCGCTGAAGCGGGAATCGAACCCGCGTCTTTCACTTTCCGGGCGACTGCTCTTACCAGTCGTTTCGTTTCGTTTCCTTGGCTCTATTGCCCGGCTTAGAAGGCAGCATACTTATATTCTTTATATTGAGAGCCGATAAAAATATTTATTTCTGAGTTTATTCACGCCTGGGCTAATCACGGCGGTATTTACTAACATCTACTTAAAAGGCAAATGAAAAATATGGGATCGAAAGGGTCTGAATAGCTTAGTTGGTAAGAGCAGTCGCCCGGAAAGTGAAAGACGCGGGTTCGATTCCCGCTTCAGCGACTTTTCGGACCTATATTTTTCTCGCTTATTTCTCCATATGTAAGTTTCGAAATTAATTTATATGTGGAACTTTGGGATCTCAAATTGAGATACAGTTCCGTTTAATTAATTTTTCGTTTCGTTTCCTTGGCTCTATTGCCCGGCTTAGAAGGCAGCATACTTATATTCTTTATATTGAGAGCCGATAAAAATATTTATTTCTGAATAAATATATTTAATTCGTTATAAAACGTATACCCGTGATAGTATTTTTCTCGTACAAAAATAACTAGAACAAATTAAATTACTCATAAAAAAATTAAAAAATAATTAAATAATTTATATTATATATGATAATAATAAAACATTTTATAAAAAAAACAGATTCAATAAATATAAGTATATATATAACATGTACTTATATTTATTGAATCTGTTTTTTAATAAAATGTTTTATAAGCTTAGAAAACTTGACTTTGACGTAACTAGCAAATTTTATTTAATTATTTCACGACGGTTTGACGTAATAAAATGTTTTATTATTATTATATAAAATATAAGTTTAAATTCTTTAATTAATTTTTAATCTTTTATGATTAATTTAATTTACTCTAATTATTTTTGTACGAGAAAAATACTATCATGGGTATACGTTTTATAATTAATTTAATATATTTGTGTTTAAAAATTATATTTGACCTTTAATTTTAATTTTTATTTTATTAAAATTAATAATTAACATATATACTTAATTGCGAATTATATGGATGAAAAAAATCCCCATTATGTGTGTAAGAGATTTCGGAACTCTTTGCTATAAAATAATTAAAATTAAAAGTCAAATATAATTTTTGAACACTTTTATATTATTAAGAATATATAATTCGATTCCCGAAATATATTAATTCATTATAAAACGTATACGTGATATTATTTTTCTCATATAAAAATGACTAGAATAAATTAAATTAATTATTAAAAAACTAAAAAGTAATTAAACGACTTAGACTTAGATGATAATAATAATGAAACATTTTATTAAAAAAAGATTCAATAACTAGTAGGTCAGGTTATAATTTTTTATTTATTTATTTATAACATTATGAGCTATTAAGCTCATCATCTCGTTCGCTCTCTGTCTTGCTTTCATTCGGCAAGTCACAAACGATATATGATACTCGTATGTTCCTACTTCAACTCTCGAGAATCTGAAACAAACGAAACTCGTGTCCAATATACAGGGTGTCCGGTAACTAACAGACCAATGATTACAAATGGATTCTTTGGTCAATTTGGGAACGATTTTTCCTCAGCAAAAATGTCGAAAAAGGTCATCATTTTTTACAACTTTCCAATCTTTGTCATTATGTATCTTTATAACTAAGCCTTAAATTAAAATTTTATTATAGTAAACTCTACCTGAAATTAACTGAAGAATGTAATTATGTTAGACTTTTAACTCCAAAACGTTTAGTTTTCAAAAAACCTATTTTTTTCAATCGCTTATAACTCGAAAATTATTGACTTCTCAACATTTTTGCTAAGGAAAAATCGTCTCCAAATTGGCCAGAGAATCCGCCCTTAATCATTGGTCCGTTAGTTACCGGACACCTTGTATATATTATATAAAAGTGTATAGCACGTCAGAAGCTTGTGAGCTTACAGCGATAAGTAAAAACAATTGCGTATTTATTTCATTGCGTTTATCTGTTTAAACGCGCGCTTTAATTTTTCCAACGTTTTTGCCTGTTTATATTTTAAAGGTCCTCTCTTCTAAAAATCTTGTTTTAAAGATCCTCTCCGCGAGCAAAATTCGAAAACATAAATTATTTAATATTTTTACTTTATTATTTGTAAATCCTCGGTAATTTCAAAATTTTTCTATTTGAAAATTATTAATTTTCTATTGCCAATTAATTTTATCACAGACTTTACTCTTACTCCCATTGCACTTTCGTTTGCGGTTTTCAGTATACGATTT